GCTCCTGGAGAGCGAAACGTTGCCACAATAAAATGTCACATTAGTTGCATTTGTGTCCTTTTAGTTAACATATTGTCGGTAATTCTACCAATATTAATACAATTTTCTTTGCCATTTCTCGTCCAGATTCATCGCTAATCTATTTATCATCATGACTAGATAGTGCAACTCGCCTCCTGCACTCCCCACTCTCCCTCCAGTTTGACTGCTTCTCAGATGTACCATTTTCTTGCACTTGAAAGGGTGTAAGACTACACTAAAATAAAAGCCAGTAGGCTGTGTAGCTTGTGTTTGTTTGTGTAAGTGTAAGTGTGTGTGTGTGAGAGAGAAAGAGAGAGAGAGAGAGAGAGGAGAGAGAGAGAGAGAGAGAGAGAGAGAGAGAGAGAGAGAGAGAGAGAGAGAGAGAGAGAGAGAGAGAGAGAGAGAGAGAGAGAGAGTAACCCTCACAAAAGTGAGTTTAGTTTGTTTAATATCTTTATCTTGCACTCCATACCCATCCTGTGGGCGGTAGTCAATAGATTACAAAGGTACACAATGGGTCCAGGGACTGGACCCCAACAGCAGTGTTAATTTTAATATTTTTAACCTCACGGCATTTTACACACACACACACACACACACACACACACAGGTGCCAAGAGCTATGACTAGATCCCTGTAACCACAAATAGGTGAGTACACACACACAGAAGAGGTATGATAGAGCTCATGGAGCAGGAAGAGTGACCCAGTAGCGACCAGTGAAGAGGCGGGGCCAGGAGCTATGACTCGACCCTGCAACCACAACTAGGTGAGCACAACTAGGTGAGCACAACTAGGTGAGCACAACTAGGTGAGCACAACTAGGTGAGTACAGGAGCCAGGAGCTATGACTCGACCCCTGCAACCACAACTATGTAAGTACACACATACACCATAATTTTCCAGGTGCTAGGAACAAGCAGTAAGGGAATAATGAAGGTCCTCGGTCAGGTTCACACATGATATACGAGGAATCTTGGCAAGAACTTTGAGCTTCAGAAATAAACTGCAGGAACTGAAAAAAAGAAAAGAGTAGGAAAATTTGGTGCGGCTCTCTTGTGAAATTGCTGATAGGTGCTCCACCTGCTGGCAACACTGCTGGTAGGTGCTCCACCTGCTGGCAACACTGCTGGTAGGTGCTCCACCTGCTGGCAACACTGCTGGTAGGTGCTCCACCTGCCCACACTGGTGACCGAGGCTTCACCTGCCCACACTGGTGACCGAGGCTTCACCTGCCCACACTGGTGACCGAGGCTTCACCTGCGCACACTGGTGACCGAGGCTTCACCTGCCCACACTGGTGACCGAGGCTTCACCTGCCCACACTGGTGACCGAGGCTTCACCTGCCCACACTGGTGATCGAGGCTTCACCTGCCCTTACTGGTGACCGAGGCTTCACCTGCCCACACTGGTGATCGAGGCTTCACCTGCCCACACTGGTGACCGAGGCTTCACCTGCCCACACTGGTGACCGAGGCTTCACCTGCCCACACTGGTGACCGAGGCTTCACCTGCCCACATTGGTGACCGAGGCTTCACCTGCCCACACTGGTGACCGAGGCTTCACCTGCCCACACTGATGACCGAGGCTTCACCTGCCCACACTGGTGACGGAGGCTTCACCTGCCCACACTGGTGACGGAGGCTTCACCTGCCCACACTGGTGACCGAGGATTCACCTGCCCACACTGGTGACCGAGGCTTCACCTGCCCACACTGGTGCCCGAGGCTTCACCTGCCCACACTGATGACCGAGGCTTCACCTGCCCACACTGGTGACCGAGGCTTCACCTGCCCACACTGGTGACGGAGGCTTCACCTGCCCACACTGGTGATCGAGGCTTCACCTGCCCACACTGGTGACCGAGGCTTCACCTGCCCACACTGGTGACCGAGGCTTCACCTGCCCACACTGGTGACGGAGACTTCACCTGCCCACACTGGTGACGGAGGCTTCACCTGCCCACACTGGTGACGGAGGCTTCACCTGCCCACACTGGTGACGGAGGCTTCACCTGCCCACACTGGTGACCGAGGCTTCACCTGCCCACACTGGTGACCGAGGCTTCACCTGCCCACACTGGTGACCGAGGCTTCACCTGCCCACACTGGTGACGGAGGCTTCACCTGCCCACACTGGTGACCGAGGCTTCACCTGCCCACACTGGTGACCGAGGCTTCACCTGCCCACACTGGTGACCGAGGCTTCACCTGCCCACACTGGTGACGGAGGCTTCACCTGCCCACACTGGTGACCGAGGCTTCACCTGCCCACACTGGTGACGGAGGCTTCACCTGCCCACACTGGTGACGGAGGCTTCACCTGCCCACACTGGTGACCGAGGCTTCACCTGCCCACACTGGTGATCGAGGCTTCACCTGCCCACACTGGTGACGGAGGCTTCACCTGCCCACACTGGTGACCGAGGCTTCACCTGCCCACACTGGTGACGGAGGCTTCACCTGCCCACACTGGTGACCGAGGCTTCACCTGCCCACACTGGTGACGGAGGCTTCACCTGCCCACACTGGTGACCGAGGCTTCACCTGCCCACACTGGTGACCGAGGCTTCACCTGCCCACACTGGTGACCGAGGCTCCACCTGCCCACACTGGTGACCGAGGCTTCACCTGCCCACACTGGTGACCGAGGCTTCACCTGCCCACACTGGTGACGGAGGCTTCACCTGCCCACGTTTATGCCTAAAGTGCATTTCCTAGTTCTGTATGTTATATACTTTTGTAATTAGACAACGTGTATTTTGAGAAGCGAAATATTACCCACTTCAGTTTTTTTTTACGAGAGAGCGAGAGAGACAGAGAGTATCAGGACCAATTACAGTCATTCTATCACATTTTCTTTACCTAAATGGTTGAGGTGAGGATGGTATAGCAGAAGGCTCTCTCCCTAACCTCCACTCCTTCCGGTCACGCTGCTGGTAGGAAGCAATCAAGAGTCAATGAAGGATACACAACACACTGTGATGATGAACATGCAAAGAAATTTGACAGAAAAGGAGGTAAGTACAAGGTAGATGTCATCAGTACCACTGCTACTGTTTATACTACATTTTCTTCCACTAAATACTATGAACTGAGGTGTCCATGTAAACTGGTCATGCTAAGGACCGGCAGAATTGTAGTCAGTGTGCCAGTGGCCACAGTACTGTGTTGACAATGCAGCCAATAGGTTCGATCGACGGTACGGCTGGAAACATTTGGGCTCGTTTCCTTAAAATACCTGCTGTCCCTGTTCACCTAGCAGTATATAGGTACCTGGGTGTTAGCTGACTGGTGTGGGTCGCATCCTGGGGACAAAATTAACTTCACTTGCCCGAAATGCTCTGCATAGCAAGGCGCTTTCTATATAGTATGTCATTGATGTCAGCTATGGTCTGTATAAGTTGCATCACATTCTTCTAGGTAAATCCTACACTTGCCAAGTGTTTGTGCTGTTATAACAGGGAAGTTCAGAGCTCATGTGCACGACCGTTGTTACTATATTGACTACAAACCCAAAAACCTTTTAGAAAACCCTTTAGTAACTACGACTTTCCTTGAAGGACCTGCCTAGTATGGGCCAGTAGGCCTGCTGAAGTGTTCCTCCTTTTTCATTTTCAAAAGTATTCAATACCTTCAGCGGTAATGACGTTTTACAAACACTGTTCGCAAGAGTAACTTCACCTTCCATTGTGCTACGTCTTTTTATTTGAAGTTTTATTTTGTTATTCCGTGTTATTGTATCACTCTACTTGTGCTGTCGTTGTACTAGTTAGCTTAAGAACGACTTTCACGAACGTGATCAAAAGTTTATTTTGAACATTAGATAGAGTGGATATAAACAAACTGTTGGGACTTGAAGAGAAGGAGCCAAGGAACAGATGGCGGCTAAAGGCACAAATGAGCCATAAGGACTGTAGGAAATACTCTTTTTCAGTTTTAATGTGATAAGAGGAACGAGCTAAACAAAGTGGTGGTGGAGGTAAACACTACACAGCTTTAGCAGTACGTACGATCCAGTCCCGGAGACCAGAAATTAATGAGGACAATTGATAAGTGTTAAGAGGTAGGACCAGGACTCGACCCTTGCCAACACATCATAGAAAAGTAATTTAGTGAGTAATAATTGTGGGAAAATATGTCGGCGTACAGAGTTTACGCAAGACGCCAGTCCAGGAAAGATTGAAGAACAGCAGCAGCAGCAGCAGCAGCCTCACCTGAGCTGCTCTGGACTTGCTGCACACTCTCCCCGGCTCCACAACACCACTCACTACTAACATATTTACTCCTTAAATCCCACCTGTAAAGTTTACACTGAGAAAATACAGTATCAAGCCAAGCTCTGAGACTGTAGTGACATACCCTCATTATTGTTGCGTTCACGGAGTGCAAAACCCATAGCGGTTACGCAAGCCCTAACAGGAATGGGAGGCACTCAGGTTCGATCCGAGGAAGACGAACACGGGCTCAGTGGCTTAGCTGAAGTGTCCTTTGGCCGGCACGGTGGGACCTGCTGTGAGGGACATGTCATGAACGGGCTGAGACTTGACACGGGCCCAACCTACTTTCCAGCACGTGTTGACTAGTGACCCACGTGGTGCTCCCTGCTCCACGCCCACCGCTCCACGTTATTGACAACGCTCTGTCACGCAACGTTAGCCTCTCGTTAGTGCGTACGCCGTAACAGAGTGGTTATTTTGTCCTTTTCGTGAAGGTCTACTGGGAATTAGCTGGGAGCGCGCAGGTACCTGAGGCTCCATACCGCGATGCTCTGACATACTTCACACTGACAACACTACCACTACCTCCTCTGGTATGTGTGTACCCGATAAATAATTGATTTAAATCCATATTCCTGGCTACACACAACCCAGAGCTCTCGTAAGATACCCAAATACTTTCTACTGGCATAAAAATCATTATCTCCCTTAAAACCAATGGGCAATCCCTGATATAGAGAAGCACTTGTGTAGCCTACCTGGGCGCCACTACATGCGAGGTTCAGGTTCACTCATCGGAGACGAACACACTGCCTACCAGGTACCAGTCACTAGGGAACGAGGAAACACCAATGAAAGGGCACACGACAGTCTGGGTCGACGTCACCCACCACACTGAGTGAGTGGCTGCCTCACCACCACAACAACCAGCCATGTTTCTCCTACTTACCCGCTGCTGCTGCTGCTGCTGCTGCTGCTGCTGCTGCTGCTGCTGGTGCTGCTGCTGCTGCTGCTGGTGCTGTTGCTGCTGGTGCTGGTGCTGGTGCTGCTGCTGGTGCTGCTGCTGCTGCTGCTGCTGCTGCTGCTGCTGCTGGTGCTGCTGCTGGTGGTGGTGGTGGTGGTGGTGGTGCTGCTGCTGCTGCTGCTGCTGCTGATGCTGTTGATGTCGCATGTTGCCGTTGATGTTGCTGCTGCTATAGAGCTGATGCTGATGCTGTTGATGCTACTGATGCCGCTGATGCTGATGCTGTTGATGTTGCTGATGCTGCTGTTGATACTAATGCAGCTGATACTGCTAATGATGCTATCGTCGCCACAGCTGTCGCAGTCGCTGCCGCCGCCGCCGCCACAGCTGTCGCAGCCGCCGCCGCTGTCGCCACCACTGCCGCCACCGCCGCCACTACCGCCGCCACTACCGTCGCCGCCGCCACCACAAATACTATCCTCCCCTGACAACCACAAATACTATCCTCCCTGACAACCACAAATACTATCCTCCCTGACAACCACAAATACTATCCTCCCTGACAACCACAAATACTATCCTCCCTGACAACCACAAATACTATCCTCCCTGACAACCACAAATACTATCCTCCCTGACAACCACAAATACTATCCTCCCTGACAACCACACCAAATACTATCCTCCCTGACAACCACAAATACTATCCTCCCTGACAACCACAAATACTATCCTCCCTGACAACCACAAATACTATCCTCCCTGACAACCACAAATACTATCCTCCCTGACAACCACAAATACTATCCTCCCTGACAACCACAAATACTATCCTCCCTGACAACCACAAATACTATCCTCCCTGACAACCACAAATACTATCCTCCCTGACAACCACAAATACTATCCTCCCTGACAACCACAAATACTATCCTCCCTGACAACCACAAATACTATCCTCCCCTGACAACCACAAATACTATCCTCCCTGACAACCACAAATACTATCCTCCCTGACAACCACAAATACTATCCTCCCTGACAACCACAAATACTATCCTCCCTGACAACCACAAATACTATCCTCCCCTGACAACCACAAATACTATCCTCCCTGACAACCACAAATACTATCCTCCCTGACAACCACAGATACTATCCTCCCCTGACAACCACAAATACTAACCTCCCTGACAACCACAAATACTATCCTCCCCTGACAACCACAAATACTATCCTCCCCTGACAACCACAAATACTATCCTCCCCTGACAACCACAAATACTATCCTCCCCTGACAACCACAAATACTATCCTCCCTGACAACCACAAATACTATCCTCCCTGACAACCACAAATACTATCCTCCCTGACAACCACAAATACTATCCTCCCTGACAACCACAAATACTATCCTCCCTGACAACCACAAATACTATCCTCCCCTGACAACCATAAATACTATCCTCCCTGACAACCACAAATACTATCCTCCCTGACAACCACAAATACTATCCTCCCTGACAACCACAAATACTATCCTCCCTGACAACCACAAATACTATCCTCCCTGACAACCACAAATACTATCCTCCCTGACAACCACAAATACTATCCTCCCTGACAACCACAAATACTATCCTCCCTGACAACCACAAATACTATCCTCCCTGACAACCACAAATACTATCCTCCCTGACAACCACAAATACTATCCTCCCCTGACAACCACAAATACTATCCTCCCCTGACAACCACAAATACTATCCTCCCTGACAACCACAAATACTATCCTCCCCTGACAACCACAAATACTATCCTCCCCTGACAACCATAAATACTATCCTCCCCTGACAACCACAAATACTATCCTCCCCTGATAACCACAAATACTATCCTCCCCTGACAACCACAAATACTATCCTCCCCTGACAACCACAAATACTATCCTCCCTGACAACCATAAATACTATCCTCCCCTGACTACCTCCAGTGAGAGGTAGTTCTGTAAGCAACAATTCCTTGATAATGACAGTGGTCAAAGAAGAACGGCCAGACTGGCACAAGCTGACAGAAAGGAGACAGTAACACAGTCATGCATTACAACAGTGGTATGCAGAAAAGCATCTCTGAGCGCACCACACCTTGAACCTTGAAGTGGATGGGTGCCAGCAGTTGAAGTGCCTACAGTGGGCACAGGCTCGCCAAAACTTGACAGCTGAAGATTTTGAATAGATCACCTGGCCTGACAAATCGAGATTTCTGCTGCAACATGCAGATGGTGGAGTCAGAATTTGGTGAAGATAACATGACCCTATGGGAACCTTATTGGGATGGCAGATTCGCAGTATGGATATGCAGGGGACAAATCTTCAACAACTGCATGATGTCATTATGTCATCATGAATCAGAATCTCTAAGGAATATTTCCAACACCTTGCTGAATCACTGCAAAAAAAAATTCAGGACTCTGGGGGCAAAGGGATGGGGGCCCTAATGTGAACTGGAAGGGCGTACCCAGTAAAGTACCCAGTAAAGTACCCAGTAAAGTAACCACTGATTCCAGGGACACAATTGTTGCTTTATATGAAGTCATCCAATATATATATATATATATATATATATATATATATATATATATATATATATATATATTATATATATATATATATATATATATATAATATATATATATATAATATATATATATATATATATATATATATATATATATATATATATATATATATATATATATAAAATATCTTGTGAAGAACTGAATTATATATATGATAACACTGTACGCTGGCTAACGGAGACTCGATCTACACTTGGACAAGACATGATACACTATGGGAGTCAAGCTTGCGCTAGACTTTAATCCAAGTCTAGCGCAAGCTGGACTCCAAGGTATTGGTCCAGTGTGGTGAGTTTGGTATAGCACTGCGTACCTTGTTCCAAGGTTCGTAGGTTCGAGTCTCCTTCAGCCAGATAGATAAATATATAGATATAAATGTTGTAGGCCACCATTTTTTACACCTCCAAATGCTGCGTTTCGTACTATTTTCCACCTTTCGTACAGAAGGTTGCCACCTTTCTCGGTGGCTCTACCCATTACCATCTCGTCACACACACACACATACACGAGCTAACTTTACTGTCTTTCTATCTTTTTCAGTTAATATGAGTGAACGACACATAACTCCAGGCGAGTGTGCAAGTAATGAAGAGTTTCAGGAAATTAGCAACACACTCTTTCAATAATATATTAAACTTTGTGAAGCGACATTTGTTTTGTAGGAAAATCGGCTAAAATGCTTATTGGTACGTTATGTAATAAGACATATACCTTATTGCTTTAATGGCCGGGAACTGACACAAAGTGTGTGCCTGAGGCCTCAACACCTGACTGACCTTAGTGCTGTGCTGGAGTGCAGACACAGGCGTGTTTATAGTCACGACTGTAAGGTTTTCTCCGTGCCCTCCATGATGCTACCATATTGATATTATAATTTTGTTTATGTGAAACTCTAAACCTATGCAGAACATTCAACGCAAAGAGCGGTGGAGGCTTGATACTCCGTCCGGTAATCTTCCGGCCAGCTGGGCTACATGACGGCTCAACGGTGCTGTAGATGAGTATTTGTCACGGTGGATGAGAACTGTGTGCCGAGCTGTTGTCAATTTTTTTTGAGCATGACTCGCGAAATTGTAATGACACGATTGTAATCAGCTCACTGAACGGAGGATTGGAACCCATGACAATCATTTGTGGTCACAGTGAGGTCCCATGCTAACCTTCCTGTAAGTGAATCTTATCAAGCCGGCAGAACACTGAATAACGCACTGGCTTGCCGCGGATTCGAACCCTTTGATGAGAAAGTTCTAGAGCATGATTTGGTTAATGCTTTGAGAGTCAAGTTCTTAATCAAAGAATGATAGGGAGGTTGGCATTATGGAGAGCTTCAGTGAGGACTCGTGTTGTGCTGTGCTTATATAATAATGGCCTTAATTTTTAAAGGGGTGGACAGGCAAGCCAGCAGAAGGCCTCGGTCAGATGACCAAAAGCTCCAGCTGCGGGTCATCATAAGATAAGACCTGCGTCAGAAAACACTTGTCCTGTTTCCTGACAAATCTTAACCTAACCTAACCTACAAACAATAGATGTTCATAGTGGAGCTGTCTGCATTCCTTGTTGCTCTCATGTAGACTGCTGGTTGTAGTGAGTCCGTTTCACCATTTATGTAGATGAGCAGAGTGCCCTAAATACCTTGACACATTTCGTTCCAGAACATCTGATGATTAAAAAAGGAAACAGGACGGGCTTCTCCATGTCCTTGCCTGGCATAAGGACGTGTCACGCTGTTGGTGGCAGAATCTTGCCAAACGTCCAGGGTAATGATAGAGTGAACCTCAAAGTAAAAATTATCGCACAGATCACTACAGTAGTTCTCTGCCTTAATTAATGGTCACATTCGTCATTTTGTCCTTGAGAAGTTCCTTTTCCGGTGGGACCAAGAAACATGCAGTAAATTGTACATAGTTAGGCAGGACGTAAGACTGTACCCGCCAGTATTCCACAAGAATGGTAATGCGAGACAGCCCGGTGGCCTGGTGGCTAAAGCTCCCGCTTCACACACGGAGGTCCCGGGTTCGATTCCCGGCGGGTGGAAACATTTCGACACGTTTCCTTACACCTGTTGTCCTGTTCACCTAGCAGCAAATAGGTACCTGGGTGTTAGTCGACTGGTGTGGGTCGCATCCTGGGGGACAAGATTAAGGACCCCAATGGAAATAAGTTAGACAGTCCTCGATGACGCACTGACTTTCTTGGGTTATCCTGGGTGGCTAACCCTCCGGGGTTAAAAATCCGAACGAAATCTTATCTTATCTTATCTTCTCTCTAGATTATGTATAGGATACATGTCTCTAGGCATGCTTGTATGAGATCGTGTCTCTACGTAGATTCAGTGCGTTATGTATATATATGTGCATGTATGTACTCACCTATTTGTGGTTACAGGGGTCGATTCATAGCTCCTGGCCCAGCCTCTTCACTGATCGCTACTGGGTCCTCTCTCTCTCCCTGCTCCATGAGCTTTATCATACCTCGTCTTAAAACTATGTATGGTCCCTCCCTCCACTACATCACTTGCCAGACTATTCCACTTCCTGACTTCTCTATGACTAAAGAAATACTTCCTAACAACTCTTTGACTCATATGAGTCTTCAACTTCCAATTTTGACCCCTTGTTTCCGTGTCCCATCTCTAAAGCATCCTGCCTCTGTCCACCTTGCGAATTCATCACCATGGTGACAGCAGAAGCTGTCACCATGGTAACCGAGTTGTTATTCAATAACATTCGTTTTAAACTCAGTATCTTTGTTCATAAACACATCTATAAACATTAATATCTCCTGAGAACAGTTTTATTGAAGTTCCCTCAACTCTTTATTACAACAATATATTTTATTGAAAACTTGGACCAATTTATTCTTGTGATAAAATATTTTTTTATAATTATCTTTCTGGATGTAATAATTATTGTTACTATTGTTTAGTCCTTTCTTACTCCTAATGGAAGTTTAGTGGTTCTTTTAACACTGTCAATATACTGGCCTCGCCGGAGGGTAAATAACCCTTATCAATCAGACTGTTGTTGTTGGCATGTAATACACTACGTACACAACCAATAGATCAGGTTTCTGGAGTATTTTGTAAGTATGATTTACTTGCCATAGTAACCTGACCCGGTATTGACCCTTATCACATCTGAGTGCGAGTTTCTGTAATTATTATAATCAAAGGGGGAGCGCTAGACCCATAGGATTATGCAGCGCCTGTGGGGGGGGGGAAGTATTCAGGCTTTGTTCAGGGAACTGGAGTACAGAACCGATTCCCTAGATCAAGAGCCCTTTACCAACATCAAGAAACCTTGCTTGAAGGGTCACTGTTTCGAGAAATTGTAGCTTGAAGAATTTCATGCTTTCAAGGGAGCTCTTCATCCGTGTCCGTGTATGTCTCCATACTGCCAGTCTGTCCTGGAATGTTTTTTGGGTGTTGTTGGCAAGAATATAATTTTCTTATATATTATGAATTTTACAGATTATAATAAGCACTGCCTTCATTTAAATCTATGGGACCAACCCTCTTTGTTTGATTGTCTGAGCACCCGAGAGGGAACCTTCCCTTGCTGGAACCTTCCCTTGCTGGAACCTTCCCTTGCTGGAACCTTCCCTTGCTGGAACCTTCCCTTGCTGGAACCTTCCCTTGCTGGAACCTTCCCTTGCTTTATAAGTACTGTACATTTTAACCTCAGGATGGTATCTCACTTAACTAATACGGTCTTGACAGTGACGTGGGGTTTAATTACAGATATTTGAGAGGAAAGCAGGTACCTTCCCCATGGTATCTCACTTAACTAATAAGGTCTCGACAGTGACGTGGAGTTTAATTACATATATTTGAGAGGAAAGCAGGTACCTTCCCCATGGTATCTCACTTAATTAATACGATCTTGACAGTGACGTGGGGTTTAATTACAGATATTTGAGAGGAAAGTAGGTACTTTCCCCATGGTATCTCACTTAAATAATACGGTCTCGACAGTGACGTGGGGTTTAATTACAGATATTTGAGAGGAAAGTAGGTACTTTCCCCATGGTATCTCACTTAAATAATACGGTCTCGACAGTGACGTGGGGTTTAATTACAGATATTTGAGAGGAAAGTAGGTACCTTCCCCATGGTATCTCACTTAACTAATACGATCTTGACAGTGACGTGGGGTTTAATTACAGATATTTGAGAGGAAAGTAGGTACCTTCCCCATGGTATCTCACTTAACTAATACGATCTTGACAGTGACGTGGGGTTTAATTACAGATATTTGAGAGGAAAGTAGGTACTTTCCCCATGGTATCTCACTTAAATAATACGATCTTGACAGTGACGTGGGGTTTAATTACAGATATTTGAGAGGAAAGTAGGTACTTTCCCCATGGTATCTCACTTAACTAATACGGTCTTGACAGTGACGTGGGGTTTAATTACAGATATTTGAGAGGAAAGCAGGTTCCTCCACCCTGGTGTCTAACTGACCAGTCATGTCAGTAATGGAGTATCCTCACATCTTTTCTGACATATTATTTCATGCAGGTGCACCAGATAGGCCAGAACAATTATCCACAATTATACCACGAGATATAATGAAGATAAATAATTCATTATTAACAATGATATAAATTCCGTTTTCTCTCTGTGTTGAACACAAGTGCCTTATATAAGTGAGTCAAATTATACTCTGCTAAAAAAAAAAAAAAAACATGAATTTTCCTAACATAATTTTAAATTAACTGAACTTCACTGACTTAAGACTGAGGGAGACTGACATCAGTCAGTCTATCTATCATCTTTCTATCATGCAGGAGGAGCCACAAGTCTATGTACATCACTACTGCCCGGCTCCGGCTGGGTTACAAGTATCTTCAGAAGGTTAAATCACCACCACCAGATGTAGACCAAACGAAATGTAAACTTTGCCAGATGGATTGTTGTCACACCTTGCTTCCTTATATAGAAACTGAATATAGCAAGATCTCGAAAAGAGATCCTGCTGTATTCCATAGGTTGTTCAGAAATGTTTGTTTGTAGGAAGGTGGGGTAGTGATCAGCAGTGTTATCTGTGATTATCCCTGATTTAAGGGAAGGTAGTATATTTGTTCATATATGGTCGATTATGGTTGCACTCGTCTCTATAAGCATTGTTGGTTTTGTTATAGCTGGTATTGTATGGGTAGTGAATTGTTCATACTGTTAATGAAATTAATTACTGGTTGGTCATCTGCTAGTCTCCTGCTAGTAGTAATTGCTGCTTGTTCATTTGATTGTTATTAGCATTTTTATTTCATCACTAAAAGTTGGGATGTTAGCATGAAGCATCCTGTATATACTAAGTTTTTTACAGAAAAGTTGGCAAATATATATTCACCATATTCATCCTGTAGCATGTGGTGCTACAACATAATAGTTTATTAGAATAATAGATGGCAATACCTCCCCAGTTTGGTCTGGCCTACAGTTGTGGGTTGCTGTGTATCCTGGTAGTGTGTAGATGTCTATTGTATCTTGCTTAAGCCTGGTTTCAGTAAGAATAATACAGAAGAAGGTTGTATTTAAGGAATCTAGGAGTGCCAGGAGGTCATCATAGTCCTTACTTAGGGATCTAATATTGCAATTAAAAAAATTTATATTTCTAGCATTACTGAGGACAGTACTGTCTTGTGTTACTGTGTAGTAAAGACAGTTTCTGTCAGCATTTTACATTCAAGTTTCAGGCTATTTACCCCTCAAGGGAGGTTCCTTGACGCTGGTGAGGGGCTCTTGATCTAGGGAATTGGATCTGTGCTCCGGTTCCCTGAATTCAGCCTGAATGCCTTCCATCCCCCCTCCCCCCACTTGCGCTGTATAATCCTATGGGTTTAGCGCTCCCCATGATTATAATAATAATAATAATCAGGCTATTTAGAGCAAATAATGAGCAAAGATATTCAGTTGCAATTAAACTGTGTGCGGTCGTAGTTTCCACAAGGTTGAGAGCAACAAGTAAGGTGGAAGCCCAATTATTAATTCTAATACACCTCTATATACCATCAGCCTGGTTGACAACAACAGCACGTCCGGCCATTCCACTGACAGGGTTAAGGGATCCATCAGTGTATCTAGTCTGTGTGATAGTATTCTTTGTCCTTAGGTCGTGTATGCGTTCCAGAGCAATGGTTTTAGAAAGTAATCAAAGTTGAGGATTGTATATGATTAGTTTCTTGGAAGGACACATTGGTATGGTGATATCGAAAACTGTTATCTGGTGGGAAATCTTATTGTTTCCTAACATGAAATAGTTCAGATAGTCCAAACATTTTATGTGTTGCTTTTATTTGAATCTATCTTGATTCACTTGTCTCATGAATTATATGTTCTAGTAATTCTTCAGAGACAACATTGTTTTGATCGCCAGGCAGCAGCTTCAATCCTCTCATGACTGATTTCACGCAGTCAGCAACATTAGATATAACTAATTTGTTATTCCTAATATGAGGAAAGTAATTAGTAATATGAAAGTAATTATTTAATATGAGGAAAGCAATTAGTAATTGCTTCCCATACACTAAGTATTTTGTTATAACCCAGTATTCTTTCATGGTCCAGCAGTGTTCTTCCTCGTGCATCAGGACGCTGGGTTCAATACGGTGTTGGTGTCAATGGCCCTATAAATCCACAACAAGTAGTATATCTCCAGAAATATCGTAATGTCTTCCACAACCATCACGGCGGGACTTCTGCGCCAACCTTCGTGAGTGTGAACATCTCGCTCTCGCCTGAGTATCAGTGACATTTCCACCGCTCTCTCTGGGACGCTTTTCCTCGTCTATTTTGCCTGCCAGCGCGCATTACAGGAGGGGCACCTGGTCATAGGCTTTTTTTTAATAGTAATATTATACTTCAGCATGATACAGTGTTTGTATGAAGTTAAATGACATTTGGGTGTACATGCAGAGAGCCCCTATATATGCAGAGCGTTTCGGATATGCAGACCGTAATGGAAATAAGTCATTTTGTCTAACTTTTTTGTTATCCTAGGTTCTCTACACATACGCTGCTATGTATGATAATCTGTGTAACTGTATTTGTATATACCTAAATAAACTTACTAGCCAGTTTCATTTTTCCGCTTTGCGAATAATTCTTTAACGGTTTTGGTGTGAAACCGGTTACTAAACTTAGGTGAGGGTGGGGGCGTCTCGTTCTGTTGGGGTTTCCCCTCGAGAGAGGGTCCTTGATGCAGGTGAGGGAAATTGGGTTATGCTCCAGTTCCCTGGATTAAGCCTGAATACCTTCCAGTCTCCCCCCACAGGCGCTGTATAATCCTACGGGTTTAGCACTTCCCCATGATTATAATAATAGCAATCTGCTGGGGCATGGCAAGGGGGTCCACCTGATCTAATTGGGACGTTCTAGTTCCTGGTTTTATTTTGCAAAGGAATTCTTGTTCCTTTTTTTTTTAATCGCCCAGCTTTGGGCAGGCCCCCATGGCCTGGTGGCAAAAGGTCTCGCTTCAATACACAAATAACCCGCACATAGACGAGAGGAGCAAACGACGACGTTTCGATCCAACTTGGACCTTTTACAAAGTCACACTAACGAAAAGGGGAGAGCGAGATGTATATATAGGTAGGAGGTGGTGGTAGTAATAGTAGTGGGGGAGGTAGTAAGAAGGAGAAGCCAGTTAAATACTAAGAAAGAGGAGCACTGCAAGGAAACTAGGTGCCCACAGAGGGTAAAAGCAAGAACACACGGTGAATGTCCGGGTTCGATTCCCAGCGAAGGGATGGAAACATTGGACATGTTTCCATAAGACACCTGCTGTCATGTTCACCTATCAGTATAAAATGGGTACCTGGGTGTTAATGGACTGGTGTGGGTTGCATCCTGGGACAAAACTGATCTAATTTGCCCGAAATGTTCTGCATAACAAGCGGCTTTCTATATAGTTGTATGTCTTTGATGTCAGGTAGGCCTGTATACCTTGTACATGTACTTGTAGAAAATTAAGATATTATTACAAATCATCCCCTTACAGGTGACCCCCGAGACCTGGCTGGCAAAGCTCTCGCTTCACACACGGAGGGCACGGGTTCGATTCCCGGCGAGGAAGAAACATTTCGACGCGTTTCCTTACATCTGTTGTCCTGTTCACCTAGCAGCAAGTAGGTACCTGGATGTTAGTCAACTGGTGTGGGTCGCATCCTGGGGTAAAAGATTGATGACCCCAATGGAAATAAGACAGACAGTCCTCGATGACGCACTGACTGACTTGGGCTATCCTGGGTGGCTAACCCTCCAGGGTTAAAAATCAGAACGAAATCTTATCGTACACCGGGAAGTTGGGTTCGATACTACGTAAGCTGTCAGTGACTCTTATAAACCCAACAAACAAACATCACACTTGGTATGTTCAGACTTATTTGTATTTGACCAACTGTCATTGACATTGTAAATTTGATATGTAAGTAAATAATGTGAGATCGAGGCCCTTTAGGGGAATGGCTTTTGATCCAGAGAATTTTCTCCCATTCCCCATCTAATACATTAAATAAGATTTTGGGATTTTTAACCCGGGGGAGGGTTAGCCACCCAGGATAACCCAAGCTAGTCAGTGCATCATCGAGGGACTGTCTGGCTTATTTCCATTGTGGTCCTTCAGTTTTCTGCCCCAGGATGCGACCCACACCAGGTACCTACTTACCTACCCCAATGGAAATAAGTCACTTTGACTTTTTTTGGTTATCATAGGTTCTCTTCACACATGCTGCTATGTATGATAAATGTAACTGTATTGTATACCTGAATAAACTTACTGCTAGATGAACAGGGACAGCAGGTGCTTCATGACCCGTACAGATTTAGTGCTTCCCCCCAAGATGGACAAAAATAGATTAAGATATTATTTTAGAAGAAGAATTAGTAGTAGTACACTATATTCTTGGAGAAGCACTAAACCCATAAGGGTCATACAGTACATGGGGAATAGGATGCAGTTGGGTTTGATTGAAGGAAGGGCAGGGAGTGCGTAGTACTTGTATTAAATGATTACTATGAACTTTACACAGCGAAGTGCTGAAAACCCTATTCAGGTTGTTAATCCAGGATAACCCAAAATAGCTAAGCGTTTTGTCTTATTTCTGTTGGGGGTCATTCTGTTAGGAGACTCGCATTATCCTGTTTCACATATGTATCTATTACCAGTTTCAGTAGTTTTCTTACCCTCACAGCCCGGCCTGGGGCCGGACTTGTCTGTTGATTTCATGTTCATCCTGGTTGAATGATTAATTTGTCTCTTGAAGAAATTACATTCTGCTTTTGATCTGTGGCTTTTAGTGAGGCAGTAAGTAAGTAAGTTTATTCAGGTATACACAAATACAGTTACATAGATTATCATACATAGCAGCATATGTGTAGAAAACCTAGGATAACCCAAAAAAGTCAGACAAAGTGACTTATTTTCATTGGGGCCATTAAGGCAGGAATAAGGTTATTCATAGTATACTTTGTTTAAATAATATACTCAGCATTATAAAGTTTCATAGCCTGGAGCCATATAAACCAGCACATTGACTCTTGAAGAACTGTTCTCAGCAACAATAATTTCATTATTTATCACCTTTTTCCTCTAATACTGGGAGTGTTGGAGAGTATTTTTTCTGTGGCAGACAATGCATCTAAATGCCCTTCTGAGTATTTATGCTATGATTATGTCTTGAAATTCCACTTTCCTTGATGAAATATTAAAACAATTTCGATCTTATATTCTTCATTCAGCAAACCAGCCATATCCCACTGAGGCAACATGACCCAAAAAGAAAAACAAAGTTTCTCTTTTTAACTTTAGTAATGTATACAGGAGAAGGGGTTACTAGCCCCTTGCTCCCAGCATTTTAGTCACCCCTTAAGACACGCATGGCTTTCAGAGAAAGAATTCTGTTCCACTTCCTCATGGAGATAAAAGGAAATAAACAAGAGCAACAACTAGTAAGAAAATAGAAAACCCAGAGGGGTGTGTGTATATATATATATATATATATATATATATATATATATAATATATATATATATATATTATATATATATATATATATATTATATTTATTTTTTTTTTTTTTATTATCACACCGGCCGATTCCCACCAAGGCAGGGTGGCCGAAAAAGAAAAACTTTCACCATCATTCACTCCATCACTGTCTTGCCAGAAGGGTGCTTTACACTACAGTTTTTAAACTGCAAACATTAACACCCCTCCTTCAGAGTGCAGGCACTGTACTTCCCATCTCCAGGACTCAAGTCCGGCCTGCCGGTTTCCCTGAATCCCTTCATAAATGTTACTTTGCTCACACTCCAACAGCACGTCAAGTATTAAAAACCATTTGTCTCCATTCACTCCTATCAAACACGCTCAAGCATGCCTGCTGGAAGTCCAAGCCCCTCGCACACAAAACCTCCTTTACCCCCTCCCTCCAACCCTTCCTAGGCCGACCCCTACCCCGCCTTCCTTCCACTACAGACTGATACACTCTTGAAGTCATTCTGTTTCGCTCCATTCTCTCTACATGTCCGAACCACCTCAACAACCCTTCCTCAGCCCTCTGGACAACAGTTTTGGTAATCCCGCACCTCCTCCTAACTTCCAAACTACGAATTCTCTGCATTATATTCACACCACACATTGCCCTCAGACATGACATCTCCACTGCCTCATATATATATATATATATATACACACACATGCATGTACATGCATGTGTAGTGTGGCCTAAATGTAAGTAGAAGTAGCAATGTAAGTAGAAGTAGCAAGACGTACCTGAATCTTGCATGTTCATGAGACAGAAAGACACCAGCAATCCTACCATCATGTAAAACAATTACAGTCTTTTGTTCTACACTCACTTGGCAGAACGGTAGTACCTCCCTGGGTGGTTGCTGTCTACCAACCTACTACCTAGAATATCTTATATTCTCATGTATTTATTTATTTATTTATTATTACACCTACCATCCGACTTACGACCAAGTTTGGTTCCGAGAAACCGGTTGTAAGTCGAAATGGTCGTAAGTCGACCTTTACTACTGAATATCGACAAAACATTTTTGTAATGACTATTTTATTGTTTTATTTTGGTATTTCATGTTTTACTTTACTTTTTATGTTGTTAGTATTGTATTTTATACTGTAAGGTTTAGGATAAACACTGTGTACAACACAAATAGTTGTTTATTTCCCAGAAATTTGGCATAAAAAACACGGTCGTAAGTCGAGTGGTCGTAAGTCGAGCAGGTCGTAAGTCGGATGGTAGGTGTATTTGAACATGATACATAGTTGTACAAAAGAAATACAGTGATTGAGTGTACATGCCAAAAGCCCCTTGTATGCAGAGCATTGTGGGCAGGCTTAAAATTAACTTAAGATTAACTAAGCAATGATACATTCAGTGGTAAAAATACAGTAAACAAATTACATAATGAAGTACAAATGAGTATTTCAAATATGAGGCTTTATAGTTGTACAAAATTTATAATATAATCTTGTCAAATCGAATAAAATCAGTGATTTGTAGTGCAGAAACAAGTCATATTGTCATTTCTTTTGATGAGTTACTGAGCATTCATGAGAATGGAGTATTCTATTAAATAATGTAATTGCAAAAAGACAGTTTGATAGGGTCACAGGTTATACATTTATGAGATACAGTTAATCAGTATTTATTTAGTTGTGGATAAGTAAGTGGTTTTTAAGAAGTCTTGAATTGATAAACAGTGTTTCTTTTATTTTTTTTTTTTTATTTTTTATTATCACACCGGCCGATTCCCACCAAGGCAGGGTGGCCCGAAAAAGAAAAACTTTCACCATCATTCACTCCATCACTGTCTTGCCAGAAGGGTGCTTTACACTACAGTTTTTAAACTGCAACATTAACACCCCTCCTTCAGAGTGCAGGCACTGTACTTCCCATCTCCAGGACTCAAGTCCAGCCTGCCGGTTTCCCTGAATCCCTTCATAAATGTTACTTTGCTCACACTCCAACAGCACGTCAAGTATTAAAAACCATTTGTCTCCATTCACTCCTATAAGAACATAAGAACATAAGAACGAAGGAACACTGCAGAAGGCCTACTGGCCCATGCGAGGCAGGTCCAAGTCCCTACCGGCTTAAGCCAATGCACCCAACCTAGTCAGGTCAGGTCACATTGACTTAAGGGAGGAACACGGCAACCGACCTGTTAGCACAAGCTATCAGGTCTAACTCACACCCACCCACATCTACTCATGTATTTATCCAACCTATTTTTAAAGCTACACAACGTTCTGGCCTCTATAACGGTACTTGGGAGTTTGTTCCACTCATCCACAACTCTATTACCAAACCAGTACTTTCCTATATCCCTCCTGAATCTGAATTTTTCCAACTTAAAACCATTGCTGCGAGTCCTGTCTAGGCTAGATATTTTCAGCACACTATTTACATCCCCTTTATTTATTCCTGTCTTCCACTTATAAACCTCAATCATATCCCCCTAATTCTACGTCTTTCTAGAGAGTGCAGTTTCAGGGCCCTTAGTCTATCCTCATAGGGAAGGTTTCTGATACATGGGATCATCTTTGTCATCCTCCTTTGTACATTTTCCAGAGAATTTATATCCATTCTGTAATACGGTGACCAAAACTGTGCAGCATAATCTAAATGAGGCCTAACCAAGGATGTATAGAGTTGAAGAACAACCTGAGGACTCCTATTATTTATGCTTCTTGATATGAAGCCAAGGATTCTATTAGCTTTATTGCGAACACTTATGCACTGTTGTCTTGGTTTCAGATTACTGCTAACCAGAACTCCTAAATCTTTTTCGCAATCCGTAATATTAAGATCTACATTATTTAGTTTATATGTGGCATGGTTATTGTCCTGTCCAACATTTAGAACTTTGCATTTGTCTATATTAAACTGCATCTGCCACTTCTCCGACCACTGCATCAGTCTATTCAAATCTTCCTGGAGTGCTCGAATGTCCTCGTCAGAATGAATTCGACGGCCTATTTTGGTGTCATCGGCAAACTTGCCGATGTCGCTCTTTATGCCCTCATCTATGTCGTTTATGTAGATTGTGAACAGCAGGGGGCCCAACACTGACCCCTGTGGAACACCGCTCGTGACGC